ATTGAAACTTGTAAACTTTTATGCAACCTGAAGATCTTCAATTTTACTATATATTACTAAGTAAAATTTATAAAATCCAGTAATTTATTGTAGGGCAATATATACTAATGATGGTCCAAATTATAAGGATACTTATTTGTATTTTTAACTTTTTTTAATTGCAATATTTAAGAAAAAGGTTTAGATTATTTAGTAACTTTTAGAATTTTTCTAGGATATTCATAGAAAATCCAGTTGAAAAAATTATGTTAATTTTTAATTTTAGAATATAATGTATAGGACTAATACATGTAGAAATATCAGAAGAATTTGAAAAAATAATTAATATATATAATAGTATAAAAGATATTTAAAAAAAAAATAAAAAAATTATCACAATTAGAAATGAAATATTAAAAAGTCTACAATTTATTATTGAATTATTATTTAATATATTTGAAAAACAAAGTTTAAAAGAAAAAAAATTCAAAACTTTTAAAGTTGTAATTAAATATAATATAGAAATTTTTTGAAAAAATGTATTAACTTTTGATGAAATATTAAGTATAAAGAATAGTTCATACAAAAAAGTTATTAAATAAGGTAAAAAAAATTTATTTGAGAAATAATTTTATTTTTATGAAAAAAATCTAATTTAATTCTTTTTTTAAAGTCAAAATTTCAGAAAATTTTCACATATTGTTATAAAAAAAGAACATTTTTTTGAAATCAAAAAATGTGATGAATTTAATTGTAAAATATATAACTCAATAAAAAGTAATTTAGAAATATTTAATACACTAAAAGAAATATCCAATTCAGTTCTTGGTGATGATAATCATTTTAAGGAATTTTTAAAAATTTATGGTATAATAGAAGATTATTGTTTTTCACTTTTGGAAAAAAAGCAATGTAACATAGTTTCTAAAAAAATGACAAGGCAAACTGGTAATGAGATAGAATTTAATATTAAAGCATAATATGTAAAGAATATTCATCTATTAGTTAAATGTTATGTATGTGATAAAAGGCATATATTATATGCAAAATGTAAACTTACTGAAACTGAATATCAGTTATTATCAAATATATTGGAGAACATTAAATATTTATATAATAATATTTTTAACAATATGTACAACTTATTATCTTTAAGAAGACAAGTAACAATGAATAATAAAATGTATAATATTACTGAAAAAATAAATTTATTGGATAAGAAAAATATAACAGAAGATATAGATAATGATAATGAAGATACAATAGTTGACAAGGATGATAATATATATGAGTATCAAGAGGATTATGATAAGAATAATGATTCTGTTAAAAAATTATTTTAAGTGGTATTTGTAAATGCAAAAAATATTTATAATAGTTAAATAAAAATACCTTACTTTTCAATAAGAATATATTCTAATATTTGTTGTAAGTGTAGTGATAAAGAAAATTTAATTTAAAAAGATTTATACTTTTTATATTATAAAATGTGTGAAGTAGAAGTTATCAACAATAAAAAAAAACAAAAAAAAAAGAGGAAAAACAAATTTTTAGTGAGAAAATGAACGTAAAAAAAAAGAATTTAAAAAGGAGCGTATATATTTTAAAAGAAATATATTATATATATACGATTATTAAAAATGCATAAAATGTATATTTAGAATTAATAAAAATAATTTTGTTAAATTTTCCTTAATAAGTTTAAGCTTATTTTATATTAATTTTATATTAAAGTAAAACAAGAACCATGCCTTAAAAGTTTAGACAATTCAATCATATAGGTTGATTGCTAGAAAAATCAGGTTCTAGGAATTTTTTAGCAAAATTGAGATTTTTATTGTATTTTTAGTTTTTGATGTTATTAGATTAAAATGTATTAAGCTCTTAATTTTAGTCAAAAATTTCTCAGAATCTGATTTTTCTAGAAACACTCCCATATGAGTTTATTATAATATAAAAAAATTTTCTCAGCTTGTGATTTAGGATCAGTGATCCTGAGAAATAAGAAATTAAGTTTACTGCACTTAATATATAATTTTAAATTAGTAAAATATATTATTTTTTTATTATTTAATAATCTTTCTTATTTTTACATATTTTTTTAGTGATTTATTAATATTATTTGTTTAACCCAATAGTGTTATTTAAAGAAGAATATAAATTACTTATCTTTAATAAAGTTATTATTTCAGTCAAATTGTATTTAAATTCAAAGTATTTATTAAAAACTTTTTTATCATAAAATTTTTATAATATAAAAATTCATTTTTTTATTTAAAAAATCGATTTTTAGTATTTTATATAAAATCCAACTGAATGATACATTCTACAATCTAAGAGAATATTCTTTTCCTATAAAATTACATATATATTTTTATCTACTTGTAAGAAGATTTTGAAAAAACTTATTTTTAAAGTGAAATTTCATGTAAATGTAAAAAAAAGTAATCTTCTAAAAGGGTTAAAATTGATTGAGCACATGATGATCTATTAATTTTTTAATTAATACTGCGAAATCTCTATAATAGGAACTTAAAAAAATATTAATAAAATTTAATTTACTGATTGGATTTTAATCAAATAAAAAAATTGATTTATATTTGTAAAAATGAATAAATTTATAAAAAAAAGTTTTTTTCAATTTTGTAAATTACAGTATTATGTAATATATATATGTACAATCAAAAACTAAAATTAAAAATCATATAAAACAATTTATTTTATCTTATTTTATTATTATATTATAAATTGTATCAAATACAATATATAATAATGAAACTTATATTTTTTAACTGCAAACTCTACTATTTTTTAGTAATACCTTTTCTATAAATATTTATATATTGCTATAATTTTTTGCATATTTTTGAATTGTAATTAAAAGAACTGAATCTAATGTAGTGGGATATCACGCTTTAACATAATTATGTTAAAGCGTGATATTCCACTTAGACTAGGTTATAGTATCACGCTATAATCTAAATACTATACTATAGCCTGAATATCACGTTATAATTTAAATATCATACTATAATCTAAATACTACACTATAATCTAGATGTTATACTTAAATCTAAATATCACACTATAACCTAATTATCATACTATAATCTAATGACTACGACCTGATCACCACACTTTAATATGAATACATAATCTGGTTACCACACTTTAATCTACCCTTTTTATTTTGATGTTATCTCTGTTCATATTCTAGCTATATTTTTATACCTTTCTTAGTATTTGTATTTTTCTCTTATGTATGATTTTATTACCACGTTATAATCTAAATACCACTCATGCTTTAACCTAACTACCTCTCTTTTCTTTCTGTTTCTACTCTACTTGTAATTTAAGTTATATATTGATGATACTGACCTTTTGCGTCTGATTGAATGTCAAATTCTATATTAAAGTACTTATCTTTTTGCGTCTATTTGGTTGCCTTTCTAGATCCCAAAATGTGGTAAAAAAATATTGTGTTGGGTGATGCAATATTTTGATGTAAATTTGCATCTAAATTTGGCCAGCACTATACCATAATTTTGGCCAATCTTTTGGGCACATGATTTGTGGGATCCAGCTTGGCACCATGATGGTGACTTGATAGTGTCCTGGAACTACTGTGGAGCTGTCATGGAACTAGTGAGGAACTATTATGGAAGTGTCATGGAACTGGCAGTTTGCCAGCTTAGATGCCAAATTATTATGTCCAAAGATCTGGCCGAAGTCATGGAATAGTGTTGGCCGAAATTTTCGTTAATTTTACTACACCTACTGCACTAGTCACGTGATCTTGTTACAGTACTGAATACCTTTTCATAATTACAGGCTAGTAATAGGAACATTTTCAAAACATTTCTAGAATTCGCAAAAAAAATTAATGGTTGTGTTTTCCTCAAAACTAATAAAGAAGATTTTGAATGACATGGTTTAGAAGCTGGTCCTGCTATAACAGGACGACAAATCTCATTAGATGGCTTACACAATATCACTGGCTAAGTTTAATTCTACTTTTTAACTACCTATTTGCCATCAGGAGCGGAGGCTGAGATATTATACTTCTCAGAGGTGTGATAGGCATTATTATAGCTGGCCCATTTGTTTGTCAGAAGTGCGCCATCTTGCAACCTAATTATTGCAGATATATGTATGCCAATTTCGTGTTCGTAGTTAGAGGTGCGATATGTATTATTTTGGCCTGACCTATTTGATTACCAGAAGTGCACCGTCTTATAATTCAATTATTGTACTGGCATAAGTATAACATTTTCGCGTCTCGAAGTTAAATACATTTATATTGCCTCTAGTGGTATATTTTCAGACATATTAGGATATAAATTAGGATAATTTTTTACGAGCTGTCCTTAGTGTCCTTAGGGAAAATTTTTTGAAGACACTTCCTAGAGATAACTATGATATCGATTTTTGGGTTTTTAAGTTTATTGATTGTGTTCTTCTATGTATGTCCCTAGTGTCCCTAGTATCCTTAGGAAAAAATAAAGTTCTAGAAAAAAAAAAATCAAAACCTCCTATGCTATATGTATGTGGTACCTGTATGCTATATGTATGTTATACAGTATACCACTATATCTATAGTAAAAAAATAAAAAAAAAGTATAAATGTTCGATTTTTCTTAGGAATACTAAGACCACTAGAGACACACATCTAGAAGGCTTTTCAGAAATCTAAAAGCGTTAAAACAACTACTTCTCGTGTCTCCCGAAGTGTTCTTACATTTTTTTCCTAAGGTCAACTTTCTGGAGACAACTTCCTAAATCCAACTTGTTGCATTGGGTATTTTCATTTTATCGAGAGCCTCTTCCAATGCTTTCAGTGTCTGTCCATTTTGAAGCATCTTTTCTAATTTCTTCCGATGATAATATGGGAGTGTTTCTAGGAAAATCAGGTTCTGAGAAATTTTTGACTAAAATTAAGAGCTTAATACATTTTAATCTAATTACATCAAAAACTAAAATGCAATAAAAATCTCAATTTTGCTAAAAAATTCCCAGAACCTGATTTTCCTAGCAATCTACCCATATGCTTTCGAATATGACTTATTTACATATAAATTACAATATCTATATTTTGATGCTGTCGGTCTTACACATTCATCTTGTTTGCATAGAGGTCGCTGACGTCTTTTTCAGTGAATATGACACCCTTCTGGTCGTTCTGCGAGATTTTCACAAACTATCCCTTCATTGGAGTGATACTGGCAAATGTATTCACCCTTCGCAATGTAATTATCAATGAAAATAAATATGTCATCAGAATCGTCCATCTTCAGTATTATTCTTAGTTAATCTTTGATATCTATAATAATATTTATTTTTATTTTGAACTTTTTTCCTAGAGTATTATACCGAAGAGTATACTTAGTTATCATATTCCGAAAAAAAATACCATGATCCATTCCGAGCTTTCAGAGTTCCTTAACACGCCCTCTGCTTTTTTTCACACAGAAGCCGAAAAAGATAAAATGATAGGCCAGGTGATCAGATATTCTGGCGAGAATTACTTGATAGATATCTCAACTCGTGATGATTTAGTTCTTAGAAACGATGAGGGTCAACTTCAACTCTTAATGATGAAATAGCGAACCATCAAAATATTCTATTCATGCCGGCCGATGTGGAAGAAGCTAAAGAATATATTAATCAAATTCTTCATTATATTCTTCATCTCTATGAACATTTCATTAACGGCCAAAAAGCAGTTGTTATCATTACTAGCATCAAGGTATTTTTCGATATTTGTATTCCCAATAATGCGAGCATTCCTAAATTCTGGTCTAAAATAAAGGACATACTTATCACTGGAAAAGACAAGAATGGAGGCACCGTAAACATGAGTCTATTCTGAAAGGAATGTATAAAGGCATTCCCTATTCGTGATTATCATGTGAAAAAAAAGCTGTATTTCCACATTGTCATATCTAATAAAGACCAAAGGTTTATTGCTCTTGATATCATCTCAAGCTACAATTCAAAGATTGATCTTGAATGTAAAATAGTGACAGCTTCAGACGATACAGACACATATTATCGTAAAGTTGTGAGAGAATATAGGGTATCACTTTTCAGGTAAGAGTCTATAAGCAACTATAAATATAATTACAATGTACCTTATTATGCGAGATCCCATCACTGCCCATATGCATTTTATGTCCACGTTGATAATTTTCATCCTATAGAGAATTTTGAACCACTTTACAAAATCTATCTATCTTTTCTTTTTACTCATGATCGAGCATTAGTTCTAATATGAAACATAGAAACACATGATTTATGTAGATCAGGGTACTTCCTAGAAGCGAAAAATGACATGTCCTAAGTTTTTATGATTTGCATGACCCTACACTGGAAAGACGATCCAATTCCTCTAGATAGAATATGTTTAGTCAATATAGAAACAAAATCGGACCTATGCTGGATTACAATCATATGTGGGAATCAAATCAATCTCTTAAAGGCATTTGCTTTATGTTGGAAATCTTTTGCCCCAGACATCCAGCTCGATTTTAATGATTCAGGATACAATTAGCCTTTCATTATAGAAAGGCCACCAAATTAAATGTTCTCGAGTGGATGGTTTAGCGAATATTGGCAAACTCGCATAAGAAAGCTGATGCTGAATCCATCTTCACTTGGAATTATTTTGGTGGAAAAGGAAAGCTACTAACTAATGGTTTCTTCCAAAGGAGCCAATGGGTAAAAAAGCGGACAAGAGACCAAAAAAAGCATTAGGCTGAGATTACATCAATATCAAAATCAACCTAATTTTGAACTTCAAATCCTTCTTTCTTAAGCTCACAGGATGTGTACAGATCGATGTTCGCTTAAGTTTTATGCAATTCCACCCTCGCTCTGAGAAAACATCACTCAAATACTTCTTAGAAAAATGTGGTCTCGATGGTAAAGCTGATATGCCTATGAACAAATTATGGAAGTATTATTCAGAAGCTAAGAACAAGACTTTGATTGCCTCTGGCAACTAAATTATGCACGAAATCGTAAATTATTGTGTTATAGATGCTTTGCATTGTCAGAAGCTTATGGTCAAATGTAATATCATAAATGATTATAGAGAAGTCGCTTCAATAGCATATATAACTTTATTTGACATGCATTATTACGCTATAGGAAAGAAAGTATGTAATCTCTTAAGCGCTGAAGCATGAGCGCAGAATATTCTATTTACCATGAAAGCTTCTAAGCTGAAAGAATCTGGGAAATATCTGGGAGCATATGTTTTCCCTCCAGAGAAAGGTCTTGAGAATAAACGTCCTGTAACAGGTTTGGACTTTGCTTCCTTGTATCCTAGCATAATTATGAACTACAACCTCTCGCCAGAAAAGATGGTTTCAAGACTTTCAGAAGTGAATGTGCTAAAAAGAGAAAACAAAATACTCCACAATATTGAATTTCACTTTAATGGTCGAGACGTGCGAGCATAGACTATACGGCATGAGAATAAATCTGATCAGAAAGGTCTGTTTCCAAAAATATTAGAAAATTTGCTTAATATGCAGAATAGAGTAAAGGCCTAGCTAAAACTTCTCAGAAAGAAAAAGGACTATATGAGAGAGGTTAAAAATAGAATGGATTCTACTAGCATCGGCGAATCTTTCTCAGTTGCGAGTGCAATCGAAGATGTTTTATCTTTGACAATAGATAAGAAGAAGCATGTTGAAATAGCTGATATTCTGAATCCTTTTATTGGTTCGTTGTATAATGGTTTCAGTAAAGAATATGATTCTGTCTGTTTTGACCATAATTTTTTGAATTCGAAGCAGAAAGCGATTAAATTGTTTATGAATTTATTTTATGGTGAGATGGGCAATAGCGATTCCTCATTCAAGTTTATAGAACTCGCTGGAGGTGTTACTTTGGCTGAATGAGAAAATATCAAACTCATTGCAGAATTCGTGAAAAAGAAAGGTTTTGAGATAAAATATGGTGATACTAATTACCTATATCTCACTTGCTCAAATTCTTGTTATGAGAAATGTGATTTAGCTTACAACGACGGGAAAGGCACAATCTTGAAACCAGAGTACTGGACATTAGCATTATTGGCGACCATAATCACATTTCTTGCAGATTCAAAAACATTTGTAACTTGTTGAATAAAATCATCTGGTGTGCATTGTCCTTCATAAAGTTTAATTTGCCCAAGCCGTAAAGTTAATATCTGGTATATTTCATACACGTTGGCCATATTTTGTGGAGGGTTATTTTGTAATGCTAATATTTGTTACTATAAATTTAAAATATTCTGGTTTCTTTACCTAATCACTAGCTGAAAAACAAACTTCTCACGTAGCAATTCACTAATGCAGGTTTGTTTTCTTGCTATAATAACTAACATCTTATTTACCTAGTTTTGGGCATTAGTCTGCAACTGTCGGGTATTTTGCTGAAGATGATTAACATTCCGCTGACATAATATCTGTTTAGCAAACTTTTCTCACAATAATTCTTGAATACGCCTATCTTTATCCCGATATGAGAAATACCAACGGCAGGATTCTTTTTTCTCATTATTATAAGCCAAAATAGCCATATCCCGCTCTCCTTGAGCATTATCTTTCCCTCTTATAGCTACATCCCTTTCTCTCATAGTTCTTTCAACCTGAACGCAGAATTCATCTAATAAACGTTGTAATCATAAATTTTGATTTCCAGTATCATTTAACTGGTTCTTAAGATGATCTACTTGCTGAATTGAATTATGTAATAAGTTTTGATATTGATCACGCTCAGTTATAATATTCTGCAAAGTAACCTGAATAGTATTTAATGAACCTCTAATACTATCTATAACATTAGTAGGATTCTGCATAGGCGTACCAACACCTCTAATATGATTTTCTATCCGCTCTAATCCTCTATTAACATTTGCGATAAGATTAGTTGTTGCCATATCTAAATTATCTATTGGGATTTTTTTATCTATAAGAATTCGGATTCTTGTCTTGAGACGTTCTACCTTATTTTCAAGCTCTATGATTCAGCCATCTTGAATAGACCTAACCTTATCTTTGAATTTTTTATCTTGTTATAAGATCCTAAGCTGTTTTTGCAAATCAGATATTTCTGATTTAAATTTTTCTATCACTTTCTCGTGAACTATGATAGTATTATCCTGTAATGAAATAGTTCAATAATATTGCTCAAGCTCCTTTACAAGAAATCAAATTTTTTTCTCGTAACTCTTATTAATAGAAATCTCATCTCGAAGCTTGTTATAAAGCTTCTGATTTGTATCTAAAAACTGTGAATATGCTAGATCAAACATGGTATTTCATCCTAATTTATAATATCATCATAATAATTCTACCTTGAAAATGAGTTAACCGCAAATTGTGATAAATCCTGATGAGACACAGAGAATTGAAAAAAATCTTATATTGTATAATATATATTATCGCCTAACTGAATATTATTCTAATCCTAAATCCTTGCTGAAAACGCTTAAGACAAGTGATGCGTGTAAAAAAGAGGGTATCGATTTTGCCTAAGTGAATACAAAACTTTTTTAGAAAATCAGGAGTCATACCAAATCAATAAAACCTCTCCAAAATACATTCCTAGAACCAGCTACAGGTGAATAACATGCCCTAATCATGTACACCAGTGCGATATACTGTTTCTCACTCATGATCACTATAGAGGTAAAAAATATAAAGCAGTACTTAATATTATAGACTGCGTCTCCAGATATAAAGCTTCAGTTCTGCTCACATCTAAGAATAGTTCAGAAGTTGCTAGAGCATTCAGAAAAATTTATGATAACCCTAATAATCCTCTTATTTATCCTAAATTATTTCAAATAGATAATGGGTGAGAATGGATGAGTGAGACTTCTCAACTAATACAAGAGCATAATGTCACAATTCGAGTGGTTGGTTTATATTCCTATCAAGATCTTACATCTGTAAAGCGTTTTAATCGAAGATTTTATACAAGATTCAGTAAGCTATTAAATCAATATCTTCTGATCCTAAACTAATAAGAGCATGGGTTAGATTTTTACCGGTAGTTATTAATTATTTAAATAACTATCCTATGCATCTTATTCGAGAACCAGAATCAGAAAAATGGAGACTTGAACCTGTAAAAGCAATTGCTTTAAAACAAGTCGAATCTAGACCATCTATAAAATATAAGTGTCTAATTGGAAAGAATGAAATAACGTTAAAGAAAGATGATACTGTCTGCTACTTACTTGCTAATGTGGAATAGGAAGGAGGTATAGAAAATCAAAGGCGGGTAACTGATCCCATCTTTAGTCTAAATCTTTATAAAATCTGAAAAGTGGTTGTCATAAAGAATGAACCAGTTTTATATTATCTCGAAGGTGATGAATTTACACTAAAGCGGGAATTGTACGAGAAGAACTTATGTTAATAACCGATCCAGAAAAGTTAGGTATCCACCTCAAAGCATATTATCTGTGCATATTACCTATGGTTTTCAAAGGGAACTAGAGGGTCTGACGAAGGACCAGAATCAAGCTAATGATTATGCTAGAAGACATGACGGTCAATGCCTAGGAAGAACTGGTTGAATAAATGGATATGATGTCTATCTCTGGTCTTGCGAAAATGGTGCATACTAGTGAGAGTATTTACTAAAATATATCATGAAAAAATTTGAGTGGTGCCTGCTATTTCATCATACTACCGAAAGAAATGTACGATATATTTTTGAGATCTATTAGATAAGAAATTCCCTTTTCACAGACCATCATTTTTGGATGGGATGCAACTCGATGGATAAAATGAGGAATTACGTCTTGCATTCAAATACCATAGTCCCCAATACTATCATCACAACAGTCTATACCATCAGAAGAGTGAAAGTTTAGAAATCCAGAGAATGCGTGACCAGAAGAAGTAGAATATTTGTAAGAAGCAAAATATATGCCTTATCAAAGTGCCTCATACAATGAATTTATATCCGTTTATTAGACATATACTAATCGAGAAAGGATTCTTGGATAAAGTGAAGGAATAAAAAGGGAGGACTGATAAATCAGTCTGATATTTTTAGTATATTATTATTAATAGTTAGCTTACCATGAAAATAAAAAACTCAAGCTAGTTGATAGGCTTGTATATCATATTAATGAGATTAAGGATATCAAAAAATATAATGAACATTTGAGTGTTCCCCAGTAACCTTTCACTTTACTAATCTGTGACCATACTAATTCAGAAAAGACTAATAAGGTTCTTAATCTTATGCTTGAAAATAAGCTTTATCGAATATTTAATAGAAAGAAAAGAAGGACACGTTATATCAAGAATGATAATTTACTATTAATTGGCTACAATCTTAAAAAGCCGAAATATATGTACCTCAAATCGGCGTATCAGATAATTGCAAATAGTCCAAAGCCCTATCATGAAAATATTACATTCTGAGCTTTGAAGCCTGATAAAATCCCTAAGGTAGATTCGTTTTCTTCAGACAGGATTACAGTACCCATATTCGAAGATGTATGTGCTGATCTAAAAAAGTGCAGAAGAAGATCATCCTTTATTTTATTGAGAGGCGCCACTACAATGTCAGTTCGATATATGTATTCTAGAGCTATTTTGATTGTCCAAAGATAATACGAAAAAATCTTACACATGTCTGCCTATTTAACGGGTCCTGCACTATGGATGAGCTAGTCATAATTATGCATTAATATGCTAATAACTGGTGTAGTGTAATTAAGATTATTGATAAGGCATTATGTGAGCAAAAATTTATTGTTTTCGATCTAACTGTACCTTAAGAGCATTCACACAGGATACGTGTCAGCTGGGATATGCCACTTCTTAGTGAGAATCTAACTTCATAAATGCTAGCTTTTTTTCTGCCTCCTGCAGTTGCATCTTCAAATTCTCATTTTCACATCACAATTTCTTATTCGTACTAATCCGCTCTCTATATTCCCTTTCTATGTCTTGTATGAATTTTTCAAAAGTTTTTTTATTATAATCAAGCAGATACTGTCAAAATACTTTAAGCTCATTCATAACCTGGCAATTATTCTCTTTTTTATGATTACAAGTAATATTATCAGTTTAGGATCCATTATTTGTAACGTATATAGTTGATATTTCTTTAAAAGATAAAGATGTCTGACACTCCAGCCAACTTTGAGTTCGTCTCTGACGCATTAATCTTTTCTGATATCTAATAGCTTCATATTTTAAAAATGACTTTACAATTGGATTAATTTCACTGGTCTCTTTTTTAGATAATGGGTTACGCTTCTGTGATGTGAAATATATTCATGCCTTATTTATTAAAAAAGCTGGTAATTTTACCAATAAGTCAGAATATGCCTGGTTAAACACCATTATATATTTATATATTGCATAAAAAATATGGAATTTCATGAAATTTCAAAAGAAAATAGACCACCAGGGTCAGTTTTATTAAAATACAAATAATAGTACATTTATGGCTGAACTAGGCGTTAAAACTAAAGAATAGACTTATCTATAATTTCACAGAATTTGCCAATGACATCACGAAATTTAGCACTCATCCTCATATTTTTAAACTTCCTATCATGCCAGAAATGGATGACATTTAACCCTCTCTTCTGAAGCTTTTCACTTGGCCAGTATGGATTGTTTACAATATAATCTTCACGAGAAAAGTGTACGATCCAGATCTTTCAAGGATGAAGTTATTTTTTATACTTAAACACTTGCTTAAAATGGCCATTTAGTTTGGAAATTGATGTTGTCGCCAATAGTTCGAGGAGAGCTTCCAGATAAGGACTATCAGGATTTTTTATAGTTAGGTCACAATAAAGATGATGGTAGTCTCCGTTATCACAAACTTGTTCAAGATACCACTAGCCAGTGATCTCATATCCATAGATTTTTCTTAACCAATTCATTAGAATCTGATACATTTTAGTATCATATGTACTTTCTCTTGAAACTTTGATATAATGCTCAGAATTCACATACAAATGATTGAAACTTTTGTATGAGCAGGAAGAACCTAGTGATATTATACTTTGGTTAAAGTTGCATACTGCATGCAGTCTTTAAAATTTCTAAAATATCTATAGACCCATCACTCTGTAAAATATCTGTAGAAATATTTAAAA